ATAGTCGTACCGTTGGCACTATCAGACTTTTATACCAAATACGCACTACCCGCAACATCGTCTAGCCAGCATACTTCCCGTCCTCGCGCGAGGTTTCAGCACGTACCACTTACGCTGTCGATTAGTTATGTGTACGTATCCGTGCATAACACACACACACGCTGCACTCTACACTGCCGGTTAGTTGAGCTTGTGGTACTCACAGACAGTACCTACAGATTACCCCAACTCGGACAATCACAGATGGGCATTCCGGGGTACGAACAGATCTACAAGGTGTACATACACTACATAGGCAAGATGGGAAGCCGAGACCGAGACGCGATCAGCGGAAAGAGAGATGAGACAGTAAATCCAGTGCATGTTGAAGGGATCCGAAGCGAACACGAAAGCAAACACAGTACGCACGACAACTTCGATGACATCGAGAGCAGGGGCCCGGGCCGTATCAGGTCGGGTCAGTAGTTAATAGTACAACACACCAGATCATCGGATGATGATTATGGGGGAGCAGGGGTCATGAACTTAGGGGTCAGGGGCATAGGGGCAGACACGGATTTTAGGAAGGCAATGGAAGCGTACGTCGGTGCGATCTCACTTCGCCGGCATGCTCTGCTGGGCCATCGCGCCCTGCGGCGGCGTAGGGAGCTCCTGCTGGATGAACGACGTCCACGTCTCCTGCAGACTGTATCCGCCCGTGTGCACGTGGATGAGCGGCGGAGGCGGGGGCGGCACCATCTGCTGCACCTGCTGCGTATATGCATACTGCTGACCCTGCGAGTACTGGCCGGGCGTCTGCTGGGGATGGACGTGTGTTTGCGCTTGCGCCTGAGCATGCATGGGCGTGGGCACGGGGTGCGAGGGATGTTGGGAGCGCGAGTATTGGGGAGGGGGGAGTGGATGGGCGTTGGACCCATGATCGTCGAGCGGTGAGTAGGCCGCGTTGTGGTACTGGAGGCCATCGAGCGACCCCGAGGGCTCCGCAGACTGCGGTGGGACGCTCCAGAGCTCAGAGCGCTGCGCAGGGATTGCGGGAGTGGAGTACCCCGAGTGTGTCGCCGGATGGGACGATGATCCGGCCCGCACATAACCATCGTACTGGTGCTGTGAGGGATGCCTATGCAGCCCACTGGACATGGGGAGCGCGTGCGGGTCGCCCGAATGAATGGCAACCTGCGGGTGGCCAAACGACTGCGGCATACCGTGAGTAGTGGGGGCGGGGGTGTGGTAGGATGCCCTCCTCGACTGAGAATCTGGAACGTGGGTAGTGTACTGCTGTTGTTGGTGCTGCTGGGGCAACTGCGGTTGATGTTGCTGCTGTTGTACATACTGTACCGGGTAGTCGTGCTGCACGTGTGCCATCGGGGGCGAGATGTTGTTGTGCTGCTGGTGATCTTGATACCGCGAATCATACTGCTGCTGCTGTTGCTGCTGTTGCGGGGCATGCTGCATCCCTGGGAGTGGCTGTCCACCATATCCCTGCGGTTGTGGCACATGCGTCTCGAGGTAGCTAGCGGGCTGCTGATTATAGTACGGGTTGGTCTGGGCGTTAATCTGGCCCTCGAACGTCTTCAGCTCGTCGACGAGGCTGGGATGGATCACCGCCCGGTACGACGAATCGAGTGCCGGGAAGGCCTCAGCCGCGGGCGATTGCGAGTTTCGTGTGTCCGAATCAGACGACCCGGTTTGGGAACCATGCGTAGATGCACCGGGGGGCGTGCCCGCCGACGACACGCTGGGGGATATGCGCTGCGGTCGGTTAGACTTGGTGGCGACTGTACGCGCCGTACGGCCGGTGAAGATCGAGAGCTCATCGAAGTGCTCGCCCTCGTTCCCTTGTGATGTGAAAATGTCGCGGCGGAGAGGCTGGAAGCCATTATAGTATGCCGCCTGCGCTTTCTCGTGCAGCTTGCGCACTACCGGCTGCCGATGCGTCAAACAAAATAGTTAGTGCAGCACACGAAGCGAGGGGGCGTGAAGGGTATACCAGGAACTTGCCGGCCCGCCCCCCGTGTGGCGCGGCGTGCTCGAAGAGCTCGCACGCGCTTCGTAGTTCACCGAGCGCCGCCTGCGCCGTTTTGGACGTCCCGCCGCGAGTTACGACAGAGCCCATCATCACCTACAGATCCATGATTGCAGTCAGCGCTGGGATCGGCGCGAAGCGTGCATGTGTCACTTACACAGGCTGAGAAGGCGTGGGTCCACAGCACCCAGAAGCGCGCGATCTGCACCGGGAATAGTGCGAACTGCTCGCGGATAGTGCTGAGAAGCGCTGACGCGCTCCGATATCCTGCGAGGAAGGAGGGAGCGTACTGGCTGCGCATCGGGTCGCTGGGGCTGTCGACGATAGCCTGCGCGAAGAAACAACGATGGACGTAGAGTAGGGCTACACAAACCAGTCTGTTCAGTGTTGCTACCCATACGTGAGACGAAGAAATATTCACTTAGGTGAAGGTAGTTTGTTGGCATGTAGTGGGACATCGTCTGTGCGAGTCCGGCGTTTTGAGGTGGAGGGCCTAGGGCGTACTTTGGGAGGGCCATGTCACGTATGCGGCGGTCAAGGTCGAGGATTACTGAGTACTTGGGTGCTTGTGCAGTCAATGTACCCATCACGACATTAGAAACGCATTCTTTCCCCCATTGTGCCTTCCACGAAGGGACTGGTATGTAGCTGATTAGCAATATATGTATATACTCCCGAGAACGGCGGCTTACAACTCATTTGTATCGTCCCGTCGTCCGCTATTGACTGATCCGGATCGGCGGGGAGCTCGGCATCGACGAATTGCAACGCGAAAGTAGGAAGGCGCCCGGTAGCGAGAGCCTGTAAAGCGGCACGAACATATAGCATGCGGTACATGGGGACCACAAAATACACGCACCTGCCAGCAATCGGTGATGAACAATTCCCAGAATAGAGCTCGTCGTTTTTGCACTTCGGATGCAGACAGCTTCCATCTTGCACTATCTCGATCTGGAGCGCAGTGAGACGGGAGCAATGCATAAAATATTCATACATACGAAGACCAATCTACCTTGGGGGTCAGCACGTCGTATACAGTTATTGAAGTGGAGAACGTACACTCTGCGCGAGCTTCGAGCTGAGCCCCATCAACGCCCACGTAGTCTCAATACTATGTTCGTCTGCCACCATTCCCTACACGCGGAAGCGTCAGTATGTCTCCTTGTTGTCCGTCCATGAGGCGTACCTGATATATGCCCATTAGACTGATGGTTTGCACCGTTGTTACGCTCGGCGGCCTATCGAGCACCGGCTCGAGACTCAGTGCTGCACGCGTTAGCTGGTAATATCGCGCCGCCTCCTCATTGTGCGGTGCCGGAGGTTCCGAGGGGTCAGTGAGGGCTCCGAAACAGAAGACGACGAAGAGGAGGGCAAGGTCGTGTGATGAAGGCTGTACGCCGGAGGCGGGTAAATTGAAGGCTTCCGTCGAAGGAGCCACGCTAGCGCCCATGTTGATACGTGCGCGAGCTGCGTCCGCCGCCTCCTCGTAGAAGAGGGGAAGGACCTCTTCGTGTAGCTGCCGCGATGTCACGGCTCCGAAGAACCACGGCGCCTGCTCGAGATAGAGGTCGCAAAGTTGGGCGGCCCGCTGCCACGGAGGCAGATAGCCCTGCATGAGTTCTTGCAAGTCATTTACCGGTATTTCGGACGGTCCGGAGGGGAATGTTGCTGCGAGGCGGTTGAGCTCTGCAGGGAGGTCGGGGTGTGCGCTGGACGACTTGGACAGTGTGGATAGGGTCAGATGGGGTTTCTCGTCCTGATGTACAGTCCATGAAGATGATCGTTACGCGCCAAGGTAGAAGGCGCACTTACAATCAAAAGGCTCTGGGCGGGGTCGTCGTGTTAGTGGACGCCACGAACTGATCGGAGCGGGGACGTACCTCCGATCCCGCCGAGCGACCATAGAAAGTCGCGGCGCCGTCATCACGCACGGCGAGGGTCCCGAACGCATCTATATACTGGGCTTCCTCTTCTTCCTCTTCCTCTGGTTCTTGCGCTTCTATGCCGCCGCCTCCACTTCCGCTCGCCAGCCTCGTCGCGGAATGTAGCTCAAGTCCGGACTTGATCTTCAGCAGGTCCTGGCCGAGGAGGGGGTGGGGGTCGCGGGTCACGCTCGACTGCAAGATCGCGAGCCCGTCCTCGAGCTGCCGGATCCGGTCGCTCATCTCTGCAATCTTTCGATGGAGGCGGTCCGTGTCCGCGAGGATGAACCTGCCGCCGCCGACGTCAGGGCCGGATCGCACCCCGCTCGCGAACGCACACAGCACACAACAGATGCAAAGAGGGGGCCGCGTACCTCGTCCCCTGGCCGGTCGTCAGGCTGCCGTTGGGGCAGATGGAGGCGCATCCTCTGCGCTTGCACGACGAGCAGGGTACCGTCTTGTCGCACTTGAGCTTGAGGCGGCGGCATTCTGCGCAAGATATCGCACCCCTTGCGCGCTTGAGCTCCTGCTCCTGGGTCTTGGCCGCCCGCTCCTTGTCGCCGTCGGGGCGATTGCGGCCGGAGAGGGGCATTGGGGTGGTGGCGGGCGCTCGTTGTATGGGACGGCAAGGGAAAGGGGGGGTGATGTGTAGCTCGACGTCGTGGTCAACGGTGTGGAGGGCCTGCGTGTACGGGGCAGCGGGACAGCTGGGGCATGGCCGTTCTGAAAGAAAGTCGGTTTCCTTGCCCAAGCAGCAAATATTGGCTTAGAAAGGCGAATCCCCGCCGCTCTCATGCCTTTCCAAGAGAGCGCCTGCACCAATGCGGAAATCCCGCAACTGCACCCGGCGCACTCACGCCACAGCCACACCGCCCGAGGCCGCTCCTACTCGCATCCGCGGCTGCACACCCTCGCGTTTTCGTACGGCAGTTGGGTTCGGGGAGCAAAAGCAAAGCGCAGGAGGCAAAACATCAGGCGCTACCAGGGCTCGAACCTGGGTTTTGGGAACACTCTTCAGAATCCCAAGTGATAACCACTACACTATAGCGCCGGCGTGCCCATTGGCTGGATTGAACAACCGACCTCACCATTACTAGTGGCGCGCTCTACCACTGAGCTAAACGGGCAAAGGGACGACCAACCTGGGAGTCGAACCCAGAATCTTCAGCTCGTTCCGCAGACCGGAAACTGACGCCTTAACCATTAGGCCAGCCGGCCGTTAAGAAAGGGGGCATCGAAGGCAATACATACTTGCAGCCACACCGAACGGTCGCGCTGGCCCGTTGCGACGTAGGCGGGATAATAGCAAAGGGAACGCATACACATAATATAACTGCACACCTCAAATACACGTACTATCCAAGACTGAAGACCCGATGAATCAAGCCTTGCGCGAGCTCAGCTTCTGCTTCAGCTTGTCCTGTTGTACGTCAATAAAAGAGCCCCTCGCGTGCGAAGGAGGATAACTTACGTGGACCTTGTCCATGTAGACGTCGGTAACGACCCAGTGCTCGCGCTTCATGTCCTTGCCGTGAATCGCGAGCGCCAAGTCCTTGGTCATGACGCTGTCGTGGTCAATGACCTCTACGCACGACGCCTCAAGGTCCTGGCAGAACGACTTCAGAGCGTCGTTTCCGTCGAGCTTCGCGCGGTGAAGGAGACCCCGCGTCCATGCGAAGATCGAGGCGACGGGGTTCGTCGATGTCTCACGGCCCTTCTGGTACTCCCGGTAGTGCCTCGTAACGGTTCCGTGCGCCGCCTCGCTCTCGACGACCTGGCCGTCGGGCGTGATGAGCTCACTAGTCATCATTCCAAGACTGCCGAAGCCCTGGGCGAGAATGTCGGACTGCACGTCGCCATCGTAGTTTTTGCACGCCCAGACAAAGCCACCCGAGGACTTGATCACTTGAGCGACCATGTCGTCAATGAGACGGTGCTCATAGTATATCCCCGCAGCCTCGAAGGCGGACTTGTACTCGCTATGAAATGGGTTGGTATCACGTCAAGAGCTAGATGCACAATGGTACAAACCTCTCGTAGATCTCCTGGAAGATATCCTTGAAGCGACCATCGTACTTTTTGAGGATAGTGTTTTTGGTGGACATGAACTGTGCCCAAAATGTCACTATGTATCATAGAGTGGGTGAACAATATTTTGGCGCACCAGAGGCAAATTCTTGGCAAGCGCCATCTTGAACGAAGAGTGGGCGAAACCACGAATGGACTGCCAAGTTGGCTTATTGATCGAAGTTCTTATTTCCGAGAACAAGTACAGACATACCTCATCGGTGTTGTACATGGCTAGGGCAACGCCAGCACCCTTGAAATCGTATACATTGATTGTCGTAGGCGCACTACCGTTGGCGGGGCTGTACACAAGCTCGAGCTTGCCAGGCCCTGGCGCGAGGAAGTCGGAGGCCCGGTACTGCAAGATGATTCAGTTAAGCTAATACGCTTCGGGAAGCAGTATATCGGACGCACTTGGTCGCCGAACGCATGACGTCCAATGACGATGGGGTTCTTCCACCCGGGAACAGGGCGAGGAATGCGGTCGAGGATGATGGGTTCACGGAAGACGGTACCATCCAGGATGTTGCGGATGGTCCCGTTCGGGCTCCGCCACATCTGCTTGAGATTGAACTCTTTCACACGCGCCTCGTCGGGGGTGATCGTTGCGCATTTAATGCCAACTTTGTGCTGAAGAATGGCCTCTGCCGCATCGACCGTGACTTTGTCATCTGTCTGAGAGAGGAACGCCGGGTAAGTTCGACGCGAACACGAGGAAACCGCTGTAGGCGTACGGCGTCGCGGTGCTCAAGACCAAGGTCGTAGTACTTGATGTCCAGTTTCAGGTAAGGCAGAATCAACTGTGCCCGAATAGGTCAGCATACAGCGTTGTGGCGCGGCTCGCGCGATCGGGGGCGGGACAGACCTCCTCCCTGATCTTTTTCCAGATGATCCTCGTCATCTCATCTCCGTCTAGCTCGACCACGGGGTTCTGAACGACGATTTTGTTCTCTGCCGGGCCCATCAAACCAACCCACGTGGAGCCCAAACCAGTCCACCCCCACGCGCACGACGTTCACGCATCCCCCCGCACCACATCCGCCAACCAAGCACCCCCAATCGCGGTCATTAGGTACGCCTCTTGTGCACACAATAACAGGAGGCACTCACGCATCCTGGCCGTGCTGCTAGCGAACCCGCGCTGCACGATCGTGAACACGGGCGCATACTGCCTGCCGCCGAGCGAGTGCGAGACGTAACGCGACAACATGGTGGTTTGAGAGAGTGAAGGCGGTGGGGAAACCCGCTTGACGAGGCCTGGCGGTTTAAATACCCTGCGCTGGGAGAAAGAGGATGACAATCAGCGACCTGGGATGGCTTGCGACGACTGCGAGAACCTCGGCCGAATCACGTACCGGTACCAGTACGCCAGCAAGTGAGAGTGTGGGCACCGTCATGGGACTTTTCATGGATCATCTTATCTTATCTGATAATAAAACTAGATTTTTCCGTTATTTGCCTCGATAAGTCCCAAAAAGGGGAGGGCCGGTAAATTGATGCAACAACTCACCAAGGGCGGCGTGCTCGTCTGTGCTCTCGTCCACCATGTTCCCGTCAATACCCCTCTTCGCGGTCGTCAGCGCGCCGTTCAAGCGCTCCCAGCTTGGTCTCTTCCAGGGCAAGATGAAGCAGTACGGCAACAGCGTACCTAACTCGAAGCACAAGACTCGCAGGACATGGCTGCCCAACGTCCACAATCAACGGCTCTTCTCCGACACGCTTGGACAGTTCGTCAGGCTAAAGGTGACTGCGCGGGCATTGAAGACGATCAAGAAGGTACGTTCTATGTACGAAAAGCGCGAGTTCGAGGCTTAACGGGCATTGCAGCACGGCAACATCGACAAGTACCTGCTGAACACGAAGCCGGACCTTCTCGGTTGGGAGGGCATGCGTCTACGGGTGTTGATCAGGGGAAAGCAGGCGGCGGCAGGAGAGGTCGCCCAGGCTGCACCATGATATACTGCACCGGTCTGTCAGGTGCGTCCTTCTCGTATGACTCAGAAACACGGCAGCTTCTGAGATTCGCTCCCATGACTAGGTCTATACGCGAGCTCGTGCGTCCGGGTTCCGCGCTTGACTCTTGAAGGCCATCACCTTGTATACTACCGCTCAGTCGCCCCCGCACCGGAGGCCTTAATACGCGCATCCTCCCAACTACACGACATTGCATTCGCTCACCACACGTCGCGAGAAAAAGGTCAGTAAGATTGAGAACATCCGGAATGCCGCGACGATATGTGAGGGCGGTCATAGTATCTCAGGTAATGTGAATGCAGACACCCTTTGGAAGACTACAGCAGCTGCTTCAGCCTACCATGACCCTATGGCCTTTGCAATTCGAGCTCAAGGTGGGCGACGCAGCGTGGGACGCGTTTATGAGTTGTCGTAAGCGAACCTAACGATGGCCGCCGCCGATCCCGGGTAGCAACCGCAGTGTTTATCACCAAGAACCTGACATATCCCTATCACCCTTCGCAAGTATCCGTCTTTGGTGAATATCCACTAACGCAACGCTCCGGCGTGATTCTGACGTTCAGCCCTTGTACTAACATGAAGCTAAGAAATTGTTCGAAGATTCCTACATTTCCATTTGCAGATGCCATCTTTGGCCAGTGCCATGGCTATCTCTTTACGACCTCACCACATCTCTTACACAAGTTTGCGACGTACTCTAATGAATTCCCCACGACCTCCGCCGGTTTGACCGTGAGTACAACCGGAAGCGAACACGACTAGGAGGCTCTCTATATATAGACGCCACCAGATGGAAGGACCAAAACATGACATGTAAGTATATTGGACTTGCGTTACATTTTGGGATCGTCGTCATTGCTAATGCTGAATTCTGTGATACGTAGTGTGTCTACACCCCGTTCCCACAGCCTCTCGCCGCACAGTCTTCATGGCCCGCGTCCTCGTGTGGTCGATGTGGTGCGTCGATGCTAATGCTCAACCGTCTCCTCTTGTCGTAGCATGTCCTACACATGTAGACTCTTCTACTCACTCTATGACGGAAAGAGCTGCTGCATGAATAACGGGAACTCTGTCTCCCCTATAACCAAGAACTCGAAGGCATGTGTTCCTTTGCACAGGTTGCAACATTCTCAGGCGGTACCCTCTTACGTTTATTGAGGCATGGATATCAGATTTTGCGTGGCATAGTGTGGGACAGGCCGTCGTTATCCTCTATCCGAGCAAATCACTGGCAGGCCCGACGGAATGAAATGGCAACCGCAGTGCAAAGCAGATGATCCCGGCATGCCGTGACGACAACACGCAATAGCGATACTTAATGGCACCTCGGACACAAAACGAAGCCCACGTTTCGTCCCTTACTACAATTGTTTTATACCACTCAGGGGTAGTTAGTCAAGGTCTCGAGTCTGGTAAGCTGACACAGTCCCGATACTCGCACAAGCACTAAAGCTATATGCCCAGGCACCCCTTCGGTTTCTCAAGCATCGCTTGACCCCTTCGTTGAGGAGCCCTCGCACACGACGAACCCTAATCTGGTTATCGATTGCGTCGCAGTGAGTTAGTTAGTTCGCATGGCCGATTACCCTACAAACAAACGATTGACGCACACGTAATATCCAGCTTCCCCACCGTTGTTAGCAGCATCAGCGCCAGCGATGTCGTCTACCAGCAATGACACGAGCACCGCCCTGAAAATCGCTACCCCTCAACTCCTCGAGCAATGTGATACTGTCACACTGCGGTGGACTGGCGGTACGCCCCCTTATGCTCTTGAAGTCGGTACCTACCATGCCGTTTTGGCGAACTTCGTCGGGATCACTACTACCTCCATGGTTTGGACCGCAAATGTGACTGCTGGCACAACTATAGCGCTACTCCTCAACGACACAGCGGGGGCTAACGCCGCCTCAGACTTATTTATAGTGGGGGATTCGGCAAACAACACCTGTCTCCACGAGCCCGACACAGACCAACACCACACATCCCTCGGCAAGGGCGCCATTGCCGGCATCATTGTGGCTGGGATCGTACTTTGCGTTGCAGTACCGGCGGCGGTATCGTTCTCGGTTCGTCGAAGACGTCGCCGATGGCAACATCGCCGATTAAGAGGTATGTACGGTCTAACAATGTGACTAGGGCAAACTTGACTTATATCTTGGATTGTGGAAGTCGAC